CGGCCCGGTGCCAGGTACTCCACGGCCCGGCACCGGTCCGCGGACCGGGGGTTGGGGATCACTGCTTTAATTGGTTCTAAAAATATTTTTTTTTCAGAGAATAAACTACTAACAGACCAACCCTGTCTTTCTATCATTTCCTGCTAGAGGCATACTAGTCAATGCTTGCTAGGAGTCAGCAATTATTTCAATGTCATTTGCATTTTCACCCTATTGCTTTTCTCACTAACCACAATTTGCATTAGGCTGTGCTGTATAAGAAACCAAAAAGCTATATTCTTTGACTATTCAGGCTTCCCAAACTAGGCCCTTTTTACAAGCAATATTTTGCACAGGGAAATGCATTCTTGTCCCTACCTTTCTCACATATATGCACCTTGAAGCAGAGATGTATTTGGTTAGTTATCTGATGATGACCACCAGACACGGAATAATCCTGGATGAAGATTCTTCCAAATGACTTTCATACCATTGCCAATAAAACTATAGAAACATATCTATGTAAAGCTTTCAATTCACAGGAATTACCTTTATGTGTAATTCCCCCAAAGCCTACATTTTTGTACCTAAAAGGTATGAAATTACGAGTTACGAATTTCATCAGAAAATTTTGAGCAATGCAACATTTGGCATTCAGGCTTTTTTTATAGACTTGTGAAGTCCAAAATGGACATTTAAATAAACTTAATTCAAATTTCTCATTCACTCAGTTTTACAACACATCCACTAGAATCACATACTATTATAGTCAACTAATGTTGGAGCAAGTTTTATTATTTGCTGATCACTTGGTTGATTTTTTAAGAGCTAATTATGCTAGGGACAGATTGATGTTCCTTCTCCTGATTTTGTTCTCATGCAGTTCCTCTTCAGCTTCCCACCTTTTTTCTTGCAAATTCTTATATAAAGCCATGTTCTGAATAGGAACATAAATACTCTAAAGCAGTGGGCTTCAACCTTCCTAATGCCGCGACCCTTTAATACAGTTCCTCATGTTGTGGTGACCCTCAACCATAAAATTATTTTATGTTTTCTGTATTTTTTCAAAAATATGGGTTTTCTGATGGTCTTAGGTGACCCCTGTGAAAGGGTCATTCGACCCCCAAAGGGGTCCAGACCCACAGGTTGAGAACTGCTGCTCTAAAGTGATTTTGGGGTCTCTTTGGAACCAAATGCATATGTCAGCCATGCAATGCATATATTTACTAGCAAGGTGATTGCTGAGTTCCAGGTGGTTCCCAAGCTTTGTGGAATTGAAAAGAAGCAAGGTGTGTCTGCTATGGAATTAATCTTTCAGTAGAAGAAAAGGAAACAGATATATGTTAAGCATGCACTATTGCTTCACTGGAAGTTCTGAACAAAATCCCAAGCCAAGAATTCTTCTCCTGCTTTTGACTTGAAGTAGCAGCTTTGATCTCTTGAGTGTAATTGTTATAGATCAGCACTGATGCATAAATCCTGGAAAATCTTTGGAACCCAGGCAGTTTACTACAAAAGTTGAAAGAAGTCACATTGGCCTTGCGAAAGAGGAAATATGGAACAGTTAATTAATAGTACAAAATGCACAGTGACTAGTCGTGTAAGGATGTTGGTAAGACTCTTAACATTCTTGGGGAAAGGAAGAGAGACATAATTCTGATTTATTCAAATTCTGCTCTCTGAATAACATTGCAACCAAATACAAATAGCCCCAAATAAGGGTAGTGCATTAAACCTCATCTCCTCCATCCATGTAAACACAACATTAATACTGAAGAAATAAAAAAAAAATCCAGTGTTGGGTTGCACGTCTATGTGTTAATGTTCCTTGTTCAAGATTCTCACCCATACTTAGTTCTACATACAATAATCAGAGTGAACTGAATGGATTCACTTCCAAGCAAAGACCATCAAGTTTTTCCCGTTCGTTTCTCCCCCACCAATACACCATTTTGATTTTGTTTTAGTTTAACAACACTTGACTGAATTAGTTCCCCAAAGTCTGTAATTCTGTGGTTCCACCCTCCTGCTTAGTCATGATGTCCACTCACACCAAATGGATGCGAAGTGGAAGAGCTATTGGACTGATTTTCCCCAATCACCTGAGTTTATTAATTAATTAAATATTAATCCTTCTTTCCCAATACTTTAGATTTCAATTTGATCTGTTTTGCAAAGAAATACTTAAAAAAAAACACCTCTATAAAATGGAAGCAAAAATTGAACGTGATGGATATCTTTCCAGGCCAGTAGAAGCACAGATCTTCTGTGTGTGTGTGTGTGTGTGTGTGTGGCTAGATTTGGAGATACAGCTGAGGTGTGAAAGGATGCAATTTAGGTTTGAAAAAAAAAAGGATATGAACAGAGCAGGTGACGGTAGTGGGGATTTGGAGAAGAGTCCATCTTGCAGCATAAGAGCAATGACTGAGTGATACCACAGAAGTGCATACACAATGCTGTGAATATTCAGAATATAATATATCACAAGTCCCATTGGTTGGATATGATTCCCATTCATCTGACGGGCAAGTCTGATGTACAGCTTACTGTATAGTGTTCTCTGTGGTTAGACAAAAGTTGTGTGACATAGGCAAATCCCTTTAATAAGGAAAAGTAGGGGCTGTTTTTGTTCATTTAATTCACAGGATAGTAATCTGAAGATCTTCCTTTACATTTCTTTTTTTAAAAAAACTGTGATATTATTAAATAGTAACATGAAAGCCTATATTCCAAAGAAGATCTGTGTGCAATTTTAAGAATCAAGATCTGTTTTACACAGTTACTGCCACCCTGGGTGCTGCCAACAGATCTGGGTAGTGCTGTCCCCAACCCCATACATTTTGTGTCCACCTCTTGGTCAATCAAGCCAAAGTCTTGTAGGTGGTAGATGAGTGGTGCTTTTGAGAAACGTCCAGTGACATCTTGTCCCAAAGCTCTACCGCTGGAACTGTTTGATGTGGTTTAAAAACAAAGCAAAACCAAAAACAACCAACGGGGGTCCCACAATTTAAGAACGGGGTCCACACACATGAAACGGCTCCTCTTTTCAGTTTGCTCTCCATTAAGAGTTTGGTGGTGCTAGCTGTTGTTCTCAGCCGTGAGATATTTCAATGCAGCAAAGCCGTAGCGGCGTGACATATCCTGCTGGAACTCTTCTTTGAGGGTCTTGAGACAAATACGGTACTGCTTGTTGGAACGGAATTTGGTGATGTCGAAGCTGGGCGCATGTGGCATGTGGATCATGTAGGCATTGGGAAGCACTGTGAATTCATATTCCTGAGGAAGACAGTCACAGTAAGAGTCAGCAAGAAGACCAATGTTTCACAATTCTTTTATGCCAATAGAAAAGAACATTTGCAGCTCAGGATTGAACTGTGGGGTCCTTGATGCTGTCTGAGCTTGATTGTTTTAGACAATTCATTATCCAACCTCATCAGCACTATCTAGTAGGGCAATGAAACATCTGTAAGGGAACCATCAAGCCCAGAGAGCAGCAAGGACCTCACCTTTCTTTTTGTTCTGTCTCCTCTCCCCAACAGCCTTAAGCATCGCAAAACCTGGAAAATAGCAAGTATAAGCGAAACATTGGCGCTTGTAAAATGATGGTCTGTAAATAAAAACCCTTTCTTAATCCCAGGGTAAATATATCTCCCCTCCCTCCCTGCCTGCCTCTTTTCTTTTGTAAACTTGAATAAAATTGAATATGGCATCTGCTTGCTAAGCATGTGTACAGTTGGGTTTTGTAACCCCTCATATGAGGAAAAACCTGATCAGTATTTACTCATGTTTGCTGATGTTTTTAAGTCATGGCTAAAACCTGCAAAAGAAGAAACCTGAGAATTTGTGTTAGAGGGCGAGGAGAGGACACTTAGGCTAGGTTTAAACCACCTTTGGAGCAGTTTGCAAGGCAAATAGAAGCCTAACAAGTGAGCATTCTTATGGCGAAATTTCACAGGACATATAGATAGAACTAGGTTCTGCTAAAGTTATTTGTTTAGAATAGCACCAGCAACTTATCAATGAGATGAAATGCATAAATTGTTGAATCTTGGGGATTTATCATCTGAAAGTCTGCTTGCATCTGTTACAGAACAGCAATCCAGAACCACGTAAGCAATTCTCAAGAAGCTTTTCTTTACAGAGAGATGAAAGTCCCTATTAATCAATCTGCATTTATTGCAGGATTCTGGTAAAAAATGAAAGCCTTTGATTAGCCATCCTTCAGTTTCTGAATGACATGTTGATGATACAGATACATCTAAAGTCAATGTTAGATTCAACTCCTAGCTGGGCTAAGAGAATTTTGCAGCTTTGTTTTGCCTTCTGCCTCAAAAGAGTGATCTTTTACTGACATCAAAGCCTTTCTCTGCTGCCCTTTCATCCTTCCTCAGTTATGTTGTTATTCCAATTTTGCCAAGAGCAGTTGTTTCTCTTCACGGCTTACATATTTTTATGGTAAAAGTAGAGCCCACTGAGTTATCGTTACTATGATAAATTTGAGGAGTAAAAGGAGAAGAAATACCAAGCCATAGATGTGCCCATCCATGAACTGAGCTTCAGCTCACTATGAATTGAACTTGATTAATATATATATATATATATATATATATATATATATATATATGTATGTATGTATGTATGTATGTATGTATGTATGTATGTATGTATGTATGTATGTATGTATGTATGTATGTATNTATGTATGTATGTATGTATGTATGTATGTATGTATGTATGTATATCCTTTAACTCAGGGGTATCCAACCTTGCCCACTGTAAAACCTGTGGACTTCAACTCCCAGAATTCCCCAGCCAGCCATGCTGGAAGTTGAAGTCCACAAGTCTTTAAGTTGCCAAGGCCAAGAACGCCCCTATTTTAACTGCAGGCATTCTACAGATCATAAGCAGAGGCATTTTCTCAATCTTCATATATTGATGTGCTTTTCACAAGAGGTGCCAGGAATTTTAACTGGGACCCCTGCCCTACAAAACAGGGGCTAATCCCTTCCCATCCCATCAAGTCACCCCAGAGTTTTATCCTTTATTCCAATAAACATATTGATTCTAACTGAACTATGAACAAGTTACCCCAAAGCTTAGTGAATCCTCAAGCGCTAATCCCACTGGACCAACTGTTCTTCTTTTCTATGCAGATAGTCCTCGACTTATAACCATTTGTTTACTGACTGTTACAACACTGAAGAAAAGTAACTTATGACCAGTTGTTGTACTTTCAACCATCACAACATCCCCACAATCAAAATTAGGATGCTTGGCAACTGGCATATATTTATGATGACTGCAGTGTTCTTAGTTATTTGATTCCCATTTGGGATTGTCCCAGCTGACTGATCACAAGCAAAGTCAGAGGGGAAGGTGGATTCCCTTAATGATGGTGTGATTCAATTAACATCAGCAGTGATCTGCTTAACAACCATGGCAAAATAGGTCATAAAATTGGGCATGGCTGGCTTAATAACAGCCTTATTTAGCAACAGAAATTTTGGTCCCAATTGTGATTATAAATTGAGGACTACATTTATTTAGATTGATTTTTTAAAAATACTTTGAAGGACAAAAGTAACCTTCTTAAGAACATGCAATGGCTTGGACTATTTCATTTGTACCTGTAAACTGTTCTGTTTCTGTCTGAAAAGACTCTGGAGTTTGCATGTCTCTGCCTCTCTCTGTCTGCCAATCCATTCATCCAAAAATTAAAATTCCTGTTTCACAACAAGGTTTCCCCAGTATAATTTTTTGAGTAACATGCTTTGTTCCCAACTATAAAAAATGTTTTGAACATTTAATTTTGTGTTTGATTTATATCCTTTTTTTAATAGGAACTTATGGTGGTATACTTGAACATCATCCTTCCATTTATTTCCACAACAACCCTGAGTTTTTGATTGGGCTACAGGAAAATAATTGGCTCAAAACCATCCAATTCATTCCCAAGGTTGAAGACTGGAATTGAATCTGGGTCTACCTGATCCTAGTTTATAATATTGACAACTGCGGTTCTATATGGGAAAAACTTTCCACTGTAGAGCACGAGATTGCTAACTGATACAAATCTGGTCTACCTTAAAGGATTGTCAGGTTCGTGTTTTTTTTGTGGAATTATCTAAGAATGCAACATCAAGTTCAATATCAGATCAAGGCCATCGAAATTCGCCCCTTGCTCAAAGAGGAAATTCAAATTAACACATTTGTAGAATTTTCCAGGTATAGATGTCTGCCATTCTTTGGTTCCTCCTTTCCTTTAGTATGTGAGGAAGCAATTCATCTGGTCCTGGAGATATAAACTCATTCAAAGTAAACAACTATTCACTGGTATATATTTTTTAATTATTCTCAGTCCTTAATCTTGCTGCTTCATTCTGTTCTTCAGTATTGACTGACAGAACAGAAGGCTCATCCGAACTTTCTGCTTACTCTGGGATCACCATTTAACCATCTATTGAGGAGAGGAATGTCCAATCATCCTTAACCTTTATCCATCTTTTCTTGCTCTGCATTAAAGTTCACTCCAGGTTGGCTGCTGTGCACTATAGCAGAATTCCCTTTGCAGGGAAGACAGGTTAAATGGTTGGTCTTTTTTTTTTATAAACAGGTTCACTAGTGGACCAGCGAAACAGTAGTCTTTCTCCCCTCCCTCCAGCATAGATGTTAGAAGAGGCGTGCTATTTTTCTCTTCTAGTTCAAGTGACATGAAAAAAGGAAAACACATTTTCTTTAGTTTACTTTCAGTAGTCTACTACTGCAAGGGTCCCCAACCACTGGCCAAAGACTGGCATTGGTTTGTGTCATGCCAGAAACTGGGCCACGCAAACAAGTAAAATCCCATCTGTGGGATGTAGGCAGCATACAAAGCCACATTTCCTCTGGACCATAGAAAAACCTCTCCCCATGGAACCAGTCCCTGGTGCCCAAAAGGTTGGGGCTACTGCACTTAGTGGACATACCAGATGGAAGATGTCAAATATGGATGAAGATCCTGAAAAAGCTCTTATTGTTTGAAACCACAAATCTTTAAAATTTCTTCCAAGCGAGTGCTGTTTGTTTTCCCATACAGATGACAGTAGGGGACTCTCCCAACTATGATCTGCATAATAACTGGCCAGCATTGTTTCCAAATCTGAACTCGATTTCTTAAGTTGTCTTCATTTAAAAATGGATTTCGCATGGGAGCCCGGTTGCTTAAGACTGTTGTTGAAAGACCCCAGTGACCATAATGTGTAGGACCTGAGCAGCTGTGTCCTTTGTACATGTATCTGTTAATATTCTACCTTTTTAAACTGAACAGCTGGTAGACTGATACTGTACTTCTTGCATTTTGTACAAAACCGAAGAAACTGTTTTATGCCCTTAGCATTCTTTGCCAACTTCAACTCATTCTATGCTTTAGCCTTTCTGATATTGCATGTACAAAGACACTATTATGAATCGTCCTATTGCCCCCCTGAGAAACATTTGCCTCATTTGAAGCAGTAAATGCTCCTTGAGAGGTAATCCAAAGAGTGAGCTGTATCTTTCCACCTGTTCTGGGAAACTGTTTTGTAGAGAAGCAAAGAGCTAATTGTAGGGCAGACCTGCTAATTTAAGATGCCAGTTGCAAATTTAGAGGTGCTAGTTAGCAGGGCAAGGTACAGTTTAATTGCTACCCATCTTTTGATAAACTGATTACTGGATTGGGGGGGATGATCCTACTGGGTGTTATTTGGCACAAAGACTTTTTCCCCCCATGAGACATAGTTTTTTATGGTCCTTCACTCTTCTCTTGGAATTAATTTGGAGCACCAAATATTTATACAGAAATCAGAAGCCCATTATGCATGAACACTGAAAAAGAAAAAAAAACCAACAACCCCAGACTCTGAAGTGGAAAGAATCCTGGTTGTGTCGTTATGCTATATTCTAACCAAATAGAGCCAAGGTAGCACCATAGGTTTCCTGCCTAAGTAGGGGGTTGGACTAGAAGACCTCCAAGGTCCCTTCCAACTATTCTATTCTATTCTATTCTATTCTATTCTATTCTATTCTATTCTATTCTATTCTATTCTATTCTATTCTATTCTATTCTATCTTCTCATAGGAGTTTGCTCCTCACTGGACGAAGGTTGGCTCAGCCTTCCATCCTTCTGAAGTTGATAAAATGAGGACCCAGATTGTTGGGGACAATATGCTGATTCTGTAAACCACTTAGAGAATGCTGTGAAGCAGTAAGCAGTAAGTCTCAGCACTATTGCTACTCCCCAGAACTAGGAAGAATAGACTGAATGGCTATGCCAGCTAGCAGTTGTGGGAGCTGTTGATTAAGAAAACTATTCTATTCTGCTTCATGTTAACAGTATCAATCAATTAATTTTTCAAAAGCAAATGAACTCTTTCACGAATGAAGGTGAATGTGCATGTCCCTGGATAATGTTGCAGAATCCAATCTGGGTTGGACAAAACTAGGATCAGAGGTTTTGTCTTCTGGGTTTTCAGACTAGTGCTGGATCTCATCTTGAGGGAACTTCTCTCTAGCAGTCTCTCTCTAGCACACTCTGCTAGAGAAAAGTGCCCTCAAGATGGGCATTAGCATGGGTCAAAAAATCTCAGAAGACAAAACCTCTGCTCCCGATGACTGACCCAGATTGCATCCTGTCTTCTTTATTAGTGAATCTGAACAAGAGGGTACTCCCATATCTATGATGCAATGAGAAGCACACTTTCCAGAGCATTCTATAAAAGCAGTATCTTTTATATTAAAAAGAACGGGGAAACAAATTGCTGCAACTAAAATTTCTATTCCTCACCTGTGCATCCAATTCCATTATGTGTGCAACTTTATTCCAACCAAATCCAACAAACCTTCGGTCATATTCTGGACAATCCTGCCTTACCACAACATATGGCTCAAAATCTGCTTCCCATTCAACTCGATATGGTGTGGTGGCTGTTCGCCACTTGGCAAAATTGGTTGGTGCATGCCCTTTTGTCCATACGTGATACCTAGAAAAGATATTGATTGAAAGAATCACTGATGGAAGCAAGAGTTGGAAACAATCCACAGCGAGAGATAGGTGAGAGTGCAGTTTGGTTCATTTCTCTTCACCTTCACCTTTTGGGTTTGTTCACTTGACAAGAAGTTTGATTCACTTCTTGACAACACTGCTGATACAACTTCAGAAGAGGTTCCTGCACATGCATAGCACACAAAGAACACATCTTACAACTTTTTGACGGGCCTCAAAGCAGGACAAAATGAGCAATTTGGCCATGTGGCTTTGGTCTTAGAAAAAAGGCACTGTGGTGCTTCAGGATGCAGCTTTGATAACCTCAAAAATGTCAGATATTCGGTGGGCATTACCATGTTTCCCAGAAAATAAGACAAGGTCTTAATTTCTTTTGACCCCCGAAATAAGCGCTTCGCCTTATTTTTTGAGAGGTCTTATTAGTTTTAAGGTGCAGGAGGTGGTGAACGTGGTCACCTCATGACTTCTGCTGTGTTGCAATATTTTTGAGGAGGGCTTATTTTGGGGGGAGGGCTTATTTTAGCGCATGTGCTCAAAAGCCCGATTGAGCTTGTTATCTAGGGAGGACTTATTTTCAGGGAAACAGGGTACCCTGTCAGGGTTGACTCAGCCTTCCATCCTTCCGAGGTGGGTAAAATGAGGACCCAGATTGTTGGGGGCAATATGCTGACTCTCTGTAAACCGCTTAGAGAGGCCTGAAAGGCCTATGAAGCGGTATATAAGTCCACTGCTATTGCTATTGCTATTACCCCCAGGCTTCCATTTGAAAAATGATATTTTCTATAATTACAGAAAGCAAAGAAATCATGACTGATGAAGAAACAGTAACTACGGCATTTCTGGATTGTGAGATTTAATTGCCGAAATTGTAAAAAATGGTACTTTGAGAAGATGTTGACATGCAGGTAAATGTTTTGTAAATGAGCTTAGCCACCATTCAGAGTTATAATGGTTTTTTTCTTCTTTGTAATTTAATAGTTTGTTTTCAAGGCATGCAGAAGTCTGTGGAGGTGTTTCTGTCATCATGGCAGAAATTTAGATCAATACAAGCATTAAATAAAAGCCTAGGAAAATATTATCAGTCCATCGAAACTATCGTTTTGTTGCCATGTGTCATCTACACAATTTCATCTAGACAATCAGTTCAATTTACAGGAAAGGATCTTTTTATAATTTGTTAATTTTACCCATGTCACTGCCAGGCCTATCCAAGCACAGCCACTATTCTTCCATTAAGACAACGATCAATACCTTTCTCTTGCATTTATTTATTTATAGATCAAATTTATATGGCCACCCATCTCTGGGCAACGTACAACAAAGTTAGACACAGTAAACATATAATAAACCAGCCATTATTTAAAAAAAACTTTTTAAAACAACAACAACAAGGCATATTAGAGAACAGACTGTGCTCGCTGTGTCATTCCAGAAAGATATTGGCTACTGCTACGCATCGATTAAACCAGCATACCATTACATCACTTGTTTATATATTAAACTATATTCCAAGGTTTACTTCAAAAGTCAAAATAGTCAGGCATGGTATTGTATCTAGATTTAATAAACATCAAGGACTTCAATGAAAATACTGGAAATATTCAGCTTGCAATTTTGACTTGATTTAACTTTGGAATCTTATTCAAGGTCTATGGTTATGCTCACAGAACAAGCGTATGTGGAAAAAGGGTACAAAGAATTATAGGCTGGAAGGGACCTTGGAGTTATTCCAATCCAACCCCCTGCCTTATACCAGGAGGCCCCAATGTTTTGGGCACCACAGACTGTGGAGGACAGTTTTTTGGCAGACTGGGTGTGTGTGTCATGGTTTCGGCATTGCCTGGATTTGCAAATGTGTGGATGGGTCTTTGCTACAGACCGGTGCTGTTCTACAGCCTGGAGGTTGAGGACCCCTGCCTTATACCATACCAGACAAATGGACATCCAATCTTTTCTTGAAAACGTCCAGTGATGGAGCACCCAGAACTCCAGGAGGAAAACTGGTCCATTATTTGTTTTCCTTTTCAGGAAATTTTCCCTTAGTTCCAGGTTAGACCTTTCTTTAATGATCTTCCATCCATTGCTTTTCCTTCCCTCAGGTGCTTTGGAAAATAAGTTACCCTCTCTTCTTTGTGGCTGACCACCAAGTATTGGGAAACAACTATCATATCACCTCTAATCCTACTCTACAATAGGCTAGACATACCTACCAAGTTCCCTTAATTGTTCCCCATTTGGTTTAGCTTCTAGTCCCATTATCATCTTTGTTGTTCTTCTCCGCACTCTTTCTAGGCTCTCAGCTTCATTTTTGTATTTTGGTGGCCAGAACTGGACACAATATTCCAAGTGTGGCCTCACTAGTGCAGTATAGAGCGGTACTAACATTTCTCATAATCTTCTTGGTATGCTTCTGTTGATGTAGCCTTTTTTTGCCAACTGCAGAACATTGTTGGCTGTACTTAAGTGGTGAGCCAGTAGTGTTGTCCATTAGGAAACTTAGATCACTCTAATAGTTGCTACTGTTGAGCCAGGTAGTGCCTGTTCTACACCTTTGCATTTGGTGAATCCTACCTAAGTGCAAGAACTTACTTCTCTCACCACTGAACTGCATCTTATTGGATAGGGCCCAATGCTTCCAAATCATTCAAAAAGGAAATATTCCTGTTCTGTCTAGGATAAAAATCTAATTAAAAATACATTTCAAGTATAGTTATTGTGATATGCTAATAACTTTTAGTGAAATCAGGGGATAAAGGGGATGTCTGTATTTATTCTTTATTTGGAATATTTATTATTTCCTTAGATACAAGAAGAAATGGTAAGAAGAATAGTCCAACTGGGTAAGGCCAAGGTCTCACTATTTCTGTTTTTTTGTTTCTTACAGTGGCCAGCAAATTGTCTTTGAAGTGATAGAGATATGTCCTTCTCCTATTGCTGTTCAACTATAATTGGCTTTTTAAAATATGCTATCTCTGGTTTGAAGGTAATGTTAATCATAACTTTGATAATATCTGGGTATCTGAAGAGAAAATGAGAATGCATTTCTGCTATAGCCCTACAGAATCCTATAGAGATCAAAATGCCCAAACATGGTTCTACAATGAATCTGTGAAGACTTCATTAACATATCTAGGACTAGGAGTGACATGATAGCAGTGTTTCAATATCTCAGGGGCTGCCACAAAGAAGAGGGAGTCAAGCTATTCTCCAAAGCACTCAAGGGCAGGCCAAAAAGTAATGGATGGAAACTAATCAAGGAGAGAAACAATGTAGAACTAAGAAAAAATGTGCTGATAGTTAGAACAATTAATCCGTGGAACAACTTGACTCCAGAAGTTGTGAATGCTCCAACACTGGATGTTTTGAAGAAGGTGTTGGATAACCATTTGTCTACCTTTCCTACCTAAGAAGGAGGTTGGACTAGAAGACCTCCAAGGTCCCTTCCAACTCTGTTATTCTATTCTTATCAATATATTACTTGTTGCCCGTTCTAGCAATATATATTTCTACTCTATCACACTCTTCAGAACAGAGATGCAATTAATAAAGAAAATAAATAGTATGTATGTGTGTATGTATGTATATGTGAGTGTGTGCGTGTATACATACATACACATACATGTGTGTGTATGTATGTATGTGTATGTATAGGTATATGTATGTATATATATATACGTGTGTGTGTGTATTCATTGCTTCATATTTTCCAAAAGTTCTCTAGAATCATTATAGCAGCATTTATTTTATTGTTTCTTTTTTTTTTCCAGAGTGAACCATAGACAAGATTATTACAAATAAGTTAATTAGAGGATTGCCAATTTTGTTTTGTTTTTGTTTTATTCTGGCTCAATGTAATTGCATTCAAACTTGTTGACATGGACAGGTCATTGGTCAACACACATTAGTGGACAAGGACTATACGATGTGATTTTCTTTCTCTAAAATTCCAAAAGTATTTGGAAGTAGATTTAGAGCAGCAGCAATTAACTTAGTCTGAAACCTTAGTAGAGCAAAGTTTAATTTTTCTCTACAGACAAGGAAATTTTCAGACCTTTAATATAAAACCCTTGAAACAAATCTACAATGAAGCCATCCATTATTCTCCATTACAAAGCTCTCATACTCAAAATATCCAGGCTACCACAACATTTGCTGGAACAGAAATAAAAGGAAGACATTTACCATGGAAAACTAATTTATATGTCACATATGCCCAAAGGGAAAAAAGTTAATCATTTTAGAAAACAGGACACCAAATAAAAAAAAAGTTTGGAATGCTACAGGAATGAGCAGGAATCATTGTCATACAAGTTTTCCCCTATTGCTTTGGCCTTCAGTATTTACTAAGAACTTATTAAAACCACCCTGAAAACAAAGTTAGAAATGGTTAGTTGATGAAGTGGACTGTGAGAAGATTGGAACAATCAGGTGGCTTGAGAAAAATATGTGAAGATTAGCTGTATGGAGAGATACTGATAATTCAGAAGCTCTGTCTTTTTTTTTGTGATGTCTTGTTCGCTATGCAAAAAACAAGCCAGTGTGAAAGTAAATTCTATGCCTGTGGAAAATGTGATTGATGATGAAGCAGAAAACTGAAATGAACATTTACATGATCTTATTTTCCAGTAGATTTTTCTTTTAACTAGGGATGGAACAGTTGTTTTCTTAATTAATAAATCTTTGCAATTACTTGCACAGATTACAGAGTGATACTGGTGGAATTTATTTTAAGGGGTGTGGGTTTTCTTTCTTTATAAACAAACACATCAACTCTGCTTTCTCCTGGGTCACCTTATTTAAACTAAATTGAATGGGGACAATTCATCAAGCACTAAGGCCAAGCAATCAGAGCAGTATGCTCAAATGAATCTACCTTTTTAAAATGAATATTTCAGAGAGCAGTTATGCTAGATCTGGAGTGTTAAACTCATGGCCTATGGGCCGGATGCGTCATATGCTGGCCACGCCCACTCCTGGTTTAGAGAAGGAGAAAATTGTGATACGTCACATTGATGTCGCCATGAAAATGCAAGTTTGACACACCTGTGCTAGATAGATCAGATACAATGCTTGTTGTGGCCCGCCAGCATCCAGAAGAGCTGGAGTAGATTTGGACAGTGAGGAGGTTGGGGAGGAACATGGGCCGGTCCTGGAATCTGGAGAAAGGCCTGAGGAGGACTCTGTGTCAGAGGCAGAGAGGTGGCCAGAGCCGTATGCCAGTTATCAGCTGCCTTCAGAGTCAGACATCAGTGAGGCAGATGAACAGCTGGAGCCTGTTTCCAGTATGCAAATGTGCAGAGTTGCCAGATGAAGGGAACAGCTAAAGAACAGGGGTTGACTTGGGAGTAAGGCCAGAGGTGGACGATGAATGGCCCCTCCCAGAGGAAATAAAAGAGGAGTGGAAAGGGAGTGGAGTTTGCAGGAGACAATTAGTCTACTTAATTGGTTCGTGACTCTCCAAGACTCCTTGCCAAGTTTTGCAGATATCAGCCTGTCAGCTCTCCAAGCCAGATAAGGTCTGTGAATGTAAATCCTCCCTTGAAAGACTTTGCTGATGTGAATGAGAAGGCTTCACAGCAAATTAATAAAAGAGTTTTTTGTGGGGACAAGAAGTTTGCTTCATGCTTTCGTGAAACCTCAGTCAGAACAATGTTATCTTAAAACAAGAGAAATGTATTGCTGCAAGGACCTGGCAAGACAGATTGCCATTTTAATAGGATCTCCAGCACCTGGGTCCCAAATATGTTTGCTAGCATAGGACTGGTTGCCAAGAACAAAAATACAGCTAAAGTTTGCTAGCTCATTATTATGAAAGTGGTGAATTGAATGAATATTTATGAACAAACTGAAAGAAATGTGGACACAATGGAGTTGCTGAATCTAGAAATGGGACATTCAGGATTCAGGAAATATTATTTCTACATGGGATCATAATCCTCTTTAAGGATCACCTTTATAGTCTGAGATTCTTCATGGATCCCATAAATCTTTTTGTATTCTGGTAAACTCAAGAATTACCTTGTAGTAGACAGTTGCTGAAGATTGTTCAGAAAGTGCAGCTGTCTAAGAATACAATCTGGCTGCATGATTCTGAAAGATTCCGTATAAAATTCATATAATCAGTTTGACTGACAATTGGTTGTTTTCAGAAGCCGATTCAAGGGTGTTCTTTACATATAAAGCCTTACAGTACATGACTTTGACCCAAACTGATAGTAGGACTATCAATTTCAGAAGACCATTTTGAATAGCAGAATTGGAAGGGGTTTTCTAGTTCAACTCCCTGCTCAAGCAGGAAAACCTATAACATTTCAAACAAATGGTTCTCCAATCTTTTCTTTAAAATATTGGCACACCCACAACTTCTGGAGGCAAGTAGGGAATAGGGAACCTATGGTATGTTCGTTCCAGTGGTGGCTTTCAAAAATGTTTAGAACTTCTTCTGTAGGTATGGTCTGCTTTGTGGGAGTGGCTTGCTGGTCATGTGACTGAGTGGGAGTGGCTTGCTGGCCATGTGACCGGGCGGGAGTGGCTTGCCAGTCATGTGACTGGGTGGGCATGACCAACTTGTAAAATGTGGTGAAACTCACAACGTTCTTGCTTAGCAACCAAAATGTTGGCTTAGAAACTCTGGCATTTGAAGCACGCAAGTCTTAAAGCTGTCAAGTTACAAGACCCTTGCACCCCTAACTCTTTAGAAAAAAACCCCAGGGGTGTTCAAACTTGACAGCTTTAAGACTTGTGGACTTCAACTCCCAGAATTCCTCCTCCAGTCATGTTGGCTCCGGAACTCTGGCATTGAAGTATGCAAGTCTTAAAGCTATCAAGTTACAAGAGCCTTGCACCCCTAACCCTTTAGAAAAAAACCCCCAGGGGTGTTCAAGCTTGACAGCTTTAAGACTTGTGGACTTCAACTCCCAGAATTCCTCCTCCAGTCATGTTGGCTCCGGAACTCTGGCATTGAAGTATGCAAGTCTTAAAGCTATCAAGTTACAAGACCCTTGCACCCCTAACTCTTTAGAAAAAAAAACCCCAGGGGTGTTCAAACTTGACAGCTTTAAGACTTGTGGACTTCAACTCCCAGAATCTCTCCTCTCGCTCTTCATCTTGATGATGTGCGGACGGGCGGGGGTAGGGAGCTGGAACCGGTTCTAAACGGCACTGTAGATTTGTGGAACCTCTTCTATAGAAGAGGTTAGAACTGGCAGGAACCCACCCCTGGTTCGTTTTATCATGAGTTAATGATCAATTCTTCTTTTTCCATGATGAGGCTTAGGTTTTGAAACACATTTTTTTTTTAAAGTAGAGTCCTTGCAAATATTACATTGCTAGTCATTGCTGACTAAAGAGAGCAATGCTCATTTTTGTTTCAAGGCCATTGACCCAGTGCTGTTCAAAGACAATTCTGTGATCATGTGGCCAACATGACATCATGAAGCACTGTCACCTTTCCACCAAAGTGGTACCTATTAATCCATTCACATTTGCATGCTTTTGAACAGCTGGATTGGCAGAAGCTGGGAGGATGGGACCTCATCCCCATTGAGGATGGGACTTACCCCTGTTAAGGACAGGACACATTCCTGGGTGAGGATGGGGCTCATCCCTAGGTGAGGACAGGACCTCACCCCCGTTGCATGGCACTCAAGTCTTCAATCTGAGCTGCTGGTTTTCTGACTTTTTGTGGGGTTTTGTGTCTCTCTGTGTGTGTGTGTGTGTTTTCAAAATGTTTTTTGAAACACATTACATTGTTATAAATTGAAATTTGTTCCTTGTATATGAGGAACCAAAAAACATACTGAAGCCTTGTAATATTAAATACTTTATTGTTCAAGGATAATTGTTTTAGTTCTCAGTATTCTATAACTCATTTTAAATGATGTTTTTATAATTGGCTTTTACTGTATTTTATTTTTTTGTAAGTCACTTTGATCCATTAAGAGAGGGGTTGACATCACCAACACACACATTCGTATTCACATACATCCTTCGGGGAGGGGGAGCAGATGGAGAATTTTCAGAAGATCTAAACCAATTTCCCACCAGGTTCCACAGCAATCTTATTTTAGAGATTTCTTACTGAATGTACTGTAGTACAATCCTAATGTGAAAAATATAATATCTACTCCACCCTCCATTTCTTTAATTTCTAAGTTTTTTATTTTTTATAAATATATCAAAACAATGTGTGAACATTGTGAGTGTCATACATTCTAATACAAACAATAATAATTATGATTAATAAGATTAATCATAATTATTACATTATTACCCTCCATTTCTTAAAAGGACAGCAAAACTGTCTGTTTTTCTCTCCTTTTAAGACACAAAGCTTTGATTGGTGTCTGTGTGTTTTCCCTCCTATTGGAACCCAGGCAGAGTAACAAAGAATCAGTAGCTTTTTCAAAAATAAAAAAATTCTTTCTTATGGTTTATTGTCTAAAATTCTCCAATCTTAATCCTTTCAAATTAAACCTACAGACAACCTCCTGAATCTCAAGGAAACAGTGTAAATGGGTGGCTCATTTTAAGTAATAACAGGGAGAATGAGAACACGTTTCTAACCAAAGTTTAGAATGTTTTAAATGTACACTATTGTGTGCCTTCTTTTATACCCAACTGCTTAAAATAGAGAGAGAGAGAGGGAGGGAGCAAATCTTTTGAATGCGTTAAACAAAATACATGCAATACCTGAATGTGAAGAGTGTCCCCATGTCCAACATAGATAACAGCTCTGCCTTTGACTTTGGAAAAGAGAGGCGGTAGCGGAGAGTTTCAAAAGCAGGTACAATTAGAGCTTTTCTTGTATTGGCTAAGTCAAGTTGGCCAACAGATTTCCTGGAAAAGAAACAGCAAATAAAAATCAACTGAATGTTAAATTAGCTTTCTAGAAAGAAGTAAGCAATAAAACTGAATTATATTATTTTCCATAGAGAATGCCATATTTGGTTACCATTTAAATTTTCATTTATAGTCAAAGCCATCGTGTAATGCATTAATAATTGCATTAACTGGAAGCATAATTGACAAATACTTTAAGTTAGAGGTACCAAGAAAATTTCTACTTTCCCTGATAAGGAAAAAAAAAAACCAACTCACATAGATTCTTTTCCGCAGTAAATAACATTCACAAAGCGCTGCTCCAAGTGTGAAAAATAAGATTTTTATTTTTTTCTGTTTGAATTTTTAAAAAGCTCATCATTCATATGTTTATTCCCTCAATCTATATTCATATGTGTTTGCCTATAAGAATTATCAGCTACTCTTTGGCAACGCTGAAGATGAATTGCAGAATTGTGGTCTGAAGTTCTCAAGCCGCAATGTGAAAATGGAATAAGATTCACTTTCACGTCTCTTGGGGTTTATTTTTCTGAATAAACTTTGGATTTTTCTATTAGCTTCCAATGACTGGTTTCCTCTCAAGTATCTTTCTGTGGCTGTTTTATAAATGAGGCAACTCTTTGCAAACTTTTCTGAAAATTATTTGAAGTGTCTGCATCACATTTCTTTTTCGCTGTGTAAAGGTTACTATATTTGTCAGCCTCCTATTATAAGTTTTGGATACTTTTTCTGTTTCCTTTCCCACTCTCCTCTCTTTCCATCAATTCTAATTGACCCAGGGAACTGCTTCTAAAAAAACAAAAAAACACTTTTATAATCCACCTCCTCCAGCTGCCAAGATTATTCAGTGTTCGTGACACTCTTAACAATTCCACCCCCGGGTTTAAGTGGTACTTTCCTCTGTTGATTCGGCACAGATCTTGGTGTGACCGACAAGACAGTGCTAAAGCGAGGAGGAGGAATACTGAAGTCAATTATGTCTCATTAAATGTACTTGGTCTCAGCCAGTTAATGTGGTCTCATAGCAGCCTCATGGACAGACCATCATTTCATGTTTTTCAGCTGTCATAATAGACTTCCAGGATTTTATTTTGCTCACTGGAAGTAGGAGTCAAAATAAGCTCCAACGCAGTTGGAAGAATGATTCTTACAAGGAGAGAGTTGTAGTTTGGTGGTAGAGCAAATGATTTAACGCAGAAAGTACTTGATTTTATCTAGTTAGGGGTGGAAAAATGCTCACAATGGAATTGCTGTAAGGTAAGGTAAATGTAAAGGTTCCCCTCACACATATGTGTTAGTTGTTCCCAAGTCTAGGGAGTGCTTATCTCCGTTTCAAAGCCAAAGAGCCAGCGCTGTCTGAAGACGTCTCTGTGGTCATGTGGCTGGCATGACTAAACGCCGAAGGCTCATGGAACACTGTTACCTTCCCACCAAAGGCGGTTCCTATTTTTCCTACTTGCATTTTTATATGATTTTGAACTGCTAGGTTGGCAGAAGTTGGGACAAGTAATGGGAGCTCATGCCGTTATGTAGTACTAGGGATTTGAACCGCCGAACCACTAACCTTTCTGATTGACAAGCTCAGGGTCTTAGCCACTGAGCCACCACGTCTCTTTGGAATTGCTGTACAAATTGTCAATTCTATAGAGAAGTCTTTGTTAAAGTATGGTCCAGGAGTCAGGAGGTCCTCCAGGAACCAGAAATCAAAATTATTTGTCAGTTAATGTTGAAAAATAATACAATATTAAAATTCCATGAAATAATTTTGGAACTGATAGGCAGCAAATGTGTCAATTTTAAATATTGATATTTATAATTAAACAAAAGCCCTTTTGGAGTCCTTCATATTTTTTAAAAGTAGAAATGGTTCTAGAGAGGAAAAAAAAAGAAACACTGCTTGTATATGACCCTAGCTTAGCAAGACCAATGGTGGGAAAGAGTTTCAGAGAAAAAAAAGATAATATTGGTATAGTCTGACTTCATACTGATACAACTTCCTATATTCCTCATAATGTTATACTTTTGTTCTCTAGGGCAACAGAGACTGATAAACCTAAATAGAACTGGTCCAATTGGCAGATTGGAATGATGAAGGTTAAATGTTAACAATATAAATCTGTGTTTTTCAACCTGACAACTTTATGTTGTGTGGATATCAACTCCCAGAGTTTCCCAGGAAAACATAAGTAGTGTCTCACTAGAATGACTAATGCTTCTAGTGATCAGATCCATTTTTGAAAATAAAAGTTGTATCGTGAATGTTAGCTATAAAATGCCAATTTCTTATATACATACATACATACATACATACATACATACATACATACATACATACGTGTGTGTGTGTGTATGCGTACACGTGGGCATACACACAGATACACACACTGTGATTCTTTAATTTGAACCTAGATTTTGACTGGCATTCCTTCAAATGTATAATGTCTTTGAAGAAAGAACTGTCTTCTTACACTGTTTAAAACAGAGATGTCTGCTACAGTGTCATACCTAAAAACATACTTATCAAGACACCATTAACTTATGGATAATTATGCAAAGCATAGCAAATATAGAGGAAATAAGGAAGGAACAAAGTGCAAGATACAAAAATAGGAAAGGAAACCTCCAATTTGCATCCACATCACTCACTCTACTGACCATATCAGTTTATCCCTGAAAGCCATTTTTGCTTTCACCAAAACCATATCCTGCTTCATATTTGCCTTTTGCTTTTTAAACTATTTCCCCCCTCTTTTCGGGCATCTCATCAATTCCATCTAACCACAACTGAGTCTTGTTTCTCATCATAACCTACTCAGCTTTCCTTCAAATATTGGTTTTGTGATTTGATTTTCACTCTTCTATATGATCAAACAAGTCCAATATACATTCAATAGTCCATTATATTCCATCTACATTCTTTCATAATTTATTTATTCTTGTCCTTACTTCTTTTACACACTTAAGTACCCCATTTCCAATGCATTCAAATTACTTTGTTTTTCTTGACACATCAACCTCTCATTTTTAAACAACAAGGTGGGCAGAAGCACACTTATAATTAGCTGTTTCTGCTTCCCTTGAAGGATATTTATTCTGTGCTGTACAAAGGATCACATGCTACCCACAACCCTTCTATCAATATCTCTGTGTCTTAAAATATCTGCATTCTTTTCCCCATTTTCAGTAAACCATCCACTAATTTACACAAATCTATCTACCTGTTTTAGCTTTTCACCATTTATGTAATGGTTTACAATAATTCATTCAATTTGAATTGAATTCATTAAATTCAATTATGTTGATTTTCAATATATTAGTTTTTAGAACCATAATCCTCATTGCATCCTTTTTCACTTCACCACAGCCATTCCTTATATCTTTATACCAGAGGGGGTATTCTGACCAGTTCAGACTTCCATCCTTCCGAGGTGGGTAAAATGAGGACCCAGACTGTGGGGGCAATATGCTGACTCTGTAAACTGCTTAGAGAGGGCTGAAAGCCCTATGAAGCGGTATATAAGTCTAACTGCTATTGCTCTTGCTATTCTGGAGAACTGGTAGTGGAAATTTTGAGTAATTCGGAGAACCGGTAAATACCACCTCTGACTGCCTCCCCCCCTCATCTATTCTCTGCCTCCCGAGTCCAGATGATCAGGAGGAAATGTGGATTTTGCAGTATCCTTCCCCTGGAATGGGAAAGGAATGGAGATTTTACAGTATTCTTCCACCACTACACCCAACAAGCCATGCCCACAGAACCGGTAGTAAAAATTTTTGAATCCCAACACTGCTTTATACATAAATATATTAAAGAGTCAAATACTAAGCATCATTTTCTTACTCTCTGCTCATTTTTATTTATTTACATTCCCAGACTATTGCTGAACCATTCACTAAGAATTACATTTATACTCATGCATACACATACCTAGCCTTCATCATAAGCCGCTCTTACTGCAGTCAACCGCCAACTTTTAAGTCCATATCTATACAAAATATTTTGAAATTCAAGCCTATTCACTTTATCGAAATGTTTTCAATTTCTTCAATTAAAAATAGTCAAAAATTCATATTGCTAAATCTGATGAAATGTAGACATTTTAAAAGCTAATTCAGTTTTGATTCAGCATTTTTAATTTGTGTGTCCGTGCGCTGTAGAAACCTTTGTTCAGAAGTTGTCCAAAGAAGTGTTTAACATGTGTCAGGTTATAAATCTGATTATAATCTAGAGAGCTGTTTATTTATTAGTAATAAAATGCCCAAGAAGATTTGTACTAAGTTAGTACATAAATATCTGCTTTCAGTAAAAATATCCTCCTCTAGACTGGTTTATTTCCCACCAAAGATAGCCCCTATTTTTCTACTTGCATTTTTTATGTGCTTTTGAACTGTTAGGTTGGGAGAAGCTGGGACAAGCAAGGGGAGCTCAGTCCATTACGCAGCACTAGGGATTCGAACTGCCAAACTGCTGACCTTTCTGATTGACAAGCTCAGTGTCTTAAGCCACTGCATCCCTATCTAAATGAGCATTATATAAATTATTTCTCAAATAACTATTATCTTTTTTACCTAGGATACCTCTAAGGGGACCTCAAAGGCCAGAGGTATTGTTAGGAATTTAATTAAAGGACAACAGCCATATCAATCAGAAAAAAGCAAATTTGTTAAACTGAATAACTGCCCAACACATATTTTTCAAACTTTGGGTGCTAGAGTGGTTATACAGATTTTGACAGCCCTAATGTAATTCATATTCAGTATCAAGCAAGATAAAGTAATTCAGCATATTTTGATATTTATATAAATATACATTTATATTTAGCATTATCTATAGTAGAATAATGAAGGACATATTTTAAAAATGCATGCTATGATTATCTGTTGATACCTAAACAGATAGTCAAATAGTTTGACAGCATGTAAGGAAAAAAAAGAGGTAATACTTTGTTGCATTTCTACACTGCTCTTCTTACCTAAGTGACTCTGGACAATTCACACAAAAAAGAAGAAAAATAATCTTGCAAAATAAGAATTCATAAAAATCAAAGCTCTTTGACCACAAGATGTCCTCCTTGCTCTACACACATGAAGAAGGTAATAAAATCATGAGCCAGAGGAGAATGTAAGCAGAAAGAGGAAAAGACTGAAGCCCATGAAAACCAACATTCACATTTACCACTCATACAATACACACTGATCTCATTCCCTTCCTTCACCTCCAAAGTCGACTACAATAATTATTCTGTCTTGACAAGATTTTGTCTTTCAATCATTTTATCTACCTTGTTTGATCACAGTTCTTCTTCCAAGGTATAGTGATGAGTTAACAGTATGTCAAAGAGATAACAACTTCAATAACATTTTCACAGCCGCTCTGTTAAAATCATCCTGGAAGCACAGATATTGGAGATGGGAGTGACCTATAAGTCATCTGGCCCTTTGCCATGCCGAAACAGAATGTGATTGTACATTTATTGAAGTTTTGAACCAATTCAGTGCTAAGGTGACTTAAAAATGGAGCTGTTCTCTGCTTCTTTGGGAATACATCTTGTAATACAAGTGTCACTATGCTGGTTCTCTCCAGATGTGCTCAATTACAGCTCACATTTCTCTAGGTAGCATAGCCATGCCGATTGAGAATTATGGAAGTTGGGCATTCAAAACATCTGGAAGCATCACACAGGAAAGCTGTTATAGTGACACACACACACACACACACACACGCACGCACACAATATAGTGATATTTTTATTTTATATCTCTACATCTAATCTAAGTGGAACAATTTGCCTCCAGAAGTTGTAAATGCTCCAACACTGGAAGTTTTAAAAAAGAGTTTGGATAACCATTTGTCTAAAGTGGTGTAGGGTTTCCTGCTTAAGCAGAGGGTTGGACTAGAAGACCTCCAAGGTCCCTTCCATCTCTTCTCTTCTATTCATCATCTCTATCTAGTAAAAGACTGCATGCATTTTCGAGATACCTTGCTTTCAGGAGATGATTACAAAATTAGGATGTCAATATTCCAGATAGAGTAATTTACAGATTCCTTTAATTTTGAGAAAATTGGCAAGATGACTACTAGTTTAGAACAGATTTTGAGAAATAACATATATTGTATACCACCACTTCACAGTCCTTTTAGCCCACTTTAAGTAGTTTACAGAGACAGCTTATTGCCTCCAACAATCTGAGTCCTCATTTTACCAATCTCAGAAGAATGGAAGACTGAGTCAACCTTGAGCCAGTCAGGATCGAACTCCTGGCATTGGGCAGGGTTAGCCTGCAATACTGCATTCTAAATACTGCACTACCAATGTTAAGAAAGAAGTGTTTTCAGCATCATGCAATCACAGCAGCTACCTGCTTTTCATTAAAACAGTTCAATTTTTTCAGGTTCCATACATGCCTCAAATACTGCTGCTATAAGAGCTACATTAACTTTAATGACCCCCTTCTTACTCGTTTATCAAGATTTGTACCTCCTGAGGGTAAGCAATACCTTAGAAGATTCAAAGGCATGATGTTTCTACCTAAAACAGCCTGGCAAAAATCTGTGGCCTTAGGCCCACATGCAGGCTTTGGCCTAATTTAGATCTTTGTCCTTGAAGGTTATTGGAATTGGAGAAAAAGGAGGAGGAAAAAATATAAGAATGGAGAAAGATGTGACATCAGAAAAATTAAAAGGTTCTTGGATAGATAAAGTTAGTAGAAATAAGACATTAGGTGTCCCCATTTTTGGAACTGTCCTTCAATTTTTTTCTTGAGCCATAATAACCATTATCCCACGCCTCCATTACATTAACCCTCTCCCCCTAAAGTCTCTGAATTTTATTTTGCACAAAATTGTTCATCCTGCTATTACATTAAACTGTCTTTTTCTTTGTCTCTTACACTTCTTGAGGCAAACATAACAAATATGTATGTATGTATGTATGTATGTATGTATGTATGTATGTATGTATGTATGTATGTATTTTAAATCCCTGTATCTTCTGATTGCTTCTTGCTTCCCCAGTCCAAATTGTTATTCCTATATACCTAGTCCGACTATATATAGATAGCTTATCTCTATCAAAACTGTGCTTAAGGACTGAAAATTAGTCCCTGTTACTGTGTGACTTCTTCGTTTAGGAATTGAAGTTGTTCTACACAGCATTTCCTCCTCCTATTTTTCCTGAAGCCATGTGTAAAGTAGGTAGGCTTGGATAAAGTGATTGGCCCAAAGCCCTGCAGGTGTTTCCATGGATGAAGGTAGACTAAACCCTGGATCTTCCCACTGCTGGTCCTAACCACTACACCACCCTGGCCACACTGTTTGTGAGAGGAATAATTTGGAGGGCTGGGGGGGGGGGTTTACCTGAGGTACTCGTAGAGTCCATACATAGGCAAGAAGTCAATATCCGACAGAAACATGTATGGAGTGCTGATATGTTTCATAGCCACATTTCGCAGGAGATTCACGGGGTAGAATTGTCCCTCTTTATACACAATGTGATATCCAACATTATGACGGCTCATGAGGACCTCAGAACCTTGAGCATAGCGCAGAAATTGTTGGGCCTCTGCATCGGAAAGATAGAGTGCCAGACTGATCGGCCCTTCCCAGTGCTTACAAATGGCTTCAAGCATCTGCAGTCTAGGAGGAAAGAAAGAAAAGTTCAGAAAAAGGCATCTTCATTAGTTGACCTAGGCAAGCCTTTCTGTCTTGGTGTTGATTTTCAGAAATCATACATTTTTCCTGGCACTATATAGGAAGAATTTCCTGTTCCCCTGTTTTTTATTCCTCATCCCAGTTAGTGTCCTATCTAAGGACCAACCAGGATCAACCCTGTTTCATCCAAATGTTATATACTGCACCTCCAAAGAGATTCACTCAAAAAAAAAAAAAATAAGGAAGAAAACATTAGCTAAACATGGTCTGCGTTAAAACACTAGGGAATCAAAGCCTAAGAAACAACTACTGTAGTACAATGTCTATTCTCTCTAGAAGGGAAAAAATAATTAATTTTCAAGGTTTTATGTCTCCACCGAGAACAGGGAAAGAAACAAATGCAGCAGTTTTATGTAATTGTTGAAGAAGAAAACATGTATTTTTTTCTAAACAGTGAAAATAGATAAGCCAAGAAGTAGGAAGGGGTAAGTAATTACTTCACTGTTCGTTTTATAATGTTCACAAGAAAGGCAAGGCAGTGTGGCTAAAAAAAAAACTTGATAAATTAAAAAGGCAAAAATAGAAGCTCCATCAAACAAATAATAATAGTAATAAAAGTCTTGTAGAAAAAAGGGTTGTTTTGTGTTCAGGAAAACAAGGCTTTCTGGTTAAAGATGGCGAATTGCAAATACATACAGAAGAAAATATTAATGATGAACACTTTAAACAATTTATTTTCAAGATACGCCATGGGTGTTTTAGCAAGCACAATACAGTCTTGCATTAATTAACAGCACTGCAATATAATCCCTGTGCTTCCAGGAACTATTTCCATTCTTAGTAGATTCAATTAAAATACCTGATTATGAAGATATAAATGCAAAAAACCATATGACTTTATATGAAGCTGTTTTTATTCAGAGATGCAATAGTTTTCCTGTCTCTTTTGCTTATTAATGTCAGGGTAGAAAATGTAAGGTCCATCAAAATCCATATTATTTCAGACATCCTGTGAAATAAGCAACCTTGTTCCCAGAATTCACTCCTTTTGGGAATGAGACTGCTTTCAGCCTTGGGCAAAGTACGAGTATGCCTTTAGTAGAATTGCAGGGAAGTGATTAGAAGCATCTGCTTCCTGGTTACATTAAGCATTAGTGGTGTGTGAGATGTTTTGAATTTAATGTAATTGTTTGAAATGGGAATAGTTTGAATTTGACATGTCCTTCCTTCCTTCCTTCCTTCCTTCCTTCCTTCCTTCCTTCCTTCCTTCCTTCCTTCCTTCCTTCCCTTCCCTTTCCCTTACCATGCTACTATAGACAAAGATAAAAGCCACTATAAAAATAAAAACCCATCTAAGCCACATCACCAATGTGAGTACCTAGTTACCTGGCCAAATGCATGGTGGATCAGCCAGCTTTTCAGAGCCTTAATAAAGATAACCTTAGAGCACTCAGAAGTACTGTTAACCAAAACTATCCAGAATAATTCATAAGCAACTAGACCCAATCCTGAATAATGATAATCAAATTATAATAATTGGTCCCGAAGCTGGGGATGAAGAGGATTTTCAGCAGCAAAAGCTGTAAAGCAAGCATGTTTAACTGAGACCATTTCCTCAATAGTCATTTATAGCATCTTATAGTATCACCAGCCACAACTTCATTACTGGTACCTCAGCAGATCAGTGCTATAAATTATAGGTGTGAAAATGAACTGAATCATTCAGAGGACAACATTCTGTAATGGATGGATGTCATAAGAGAAAAAGCTCTACTAAACAAGACTATTATTATATTTGATGTAGATGTAGAACTAAAAAAGGAAGACAGCTGGAAATGCAGCCTCCCTGACACTTCTGGGAGAAGTGGGAAAAAATGGCCAGCATCACAGCTCAGTTTATTGACTGAGAGAAGAAATGGCAGAGTTGTTTGTGTTTGGGAACTTAGCTGATAAAAAAAGAAAAGAAGCAACAGGCCTTAATGAATTTCTAGTCTAATATTTCTTTGTAAAAGGAGATCTGTGTTAGTCTGTGGTGGCAAATAAACAGGAAGAATCTGGGAGCACCTTTACCGACTAGCAAATGCATTAATTCATGAAAGTGCATGCTTTTTAGTACAATTTGTTAGCTGGAAAAGATGCTATTGGACTACTTCTGATTTAGCATTTCCCTGATAGCTATTTTGCAAAACCTGCATAGTCTCAGTAAAGGTAATAAGAAAATGGTGAAGAAAAACTCCAAGCTATTCATGGCGAATATATCGAGCTATTCTTGTTTGTCTATTTTGCAGATTTTTTTGCTTATCAGTGGTGTTTCAAATGAAGTTTGAAAAGTAATTAAAAGAGAGAAAAACATTTTCAATTCAGCTTATCAAACCATAATTCCCAAATGCTATAGAATAGCTAAAGGTTGCATTAAAAAGCAAATGAGTAAATTATTAACCCAAACCAGGATCTTTTGTTAATTCAAAGTGCAAGAAGAGATTTATTGGTATGGCTCCCATTTTTATGACATTTTAGAAATTACCGAAAATCTGATTGTTCTCCCAGGCCTTAAGAGTGATTTGGCATCCTGGTTTTAGTTTAGTTTAGTTATGTCAGGTTTAAGTATGTGGTGGGTGTTTTCCCCCATTGCCCATGTTCTTTTTTAAAATACATTTTCTTTTATTTGTAAGGTGCCTGGAAATGTCAGAGTCAGGATCCCTCAAATTTTGATTAAATAAATGAAATTAGAAAAGAAAAACAGAGCTACCATTTGAAAGAAAGATAAGAAAAGAAACCACACGGATCTCACTGTCCTTTTTGTGGAAAATGTATAATCCAGAAACAGTCAAGAAAAGATAAAAATAGCAATCATAATAATCACTAATGTCAGCTTCATCTCCAGACATTGTCTTACCAGAGCCAGTTCTGTCTCTGTTACTATCCTCTTCTATCTTCCTGGTCTTGCAACACAAGTAAGGTAAAGGTAAAGGTTACCCTCGCACATACATGCTAGTCATTCCTGACTCTAAGGGGCGGTGTTCATCTCAGTTTCAAAGCTGAAGAGCCAGTGCTGTCTGAAGACATCTCTGTGGTCATGTGGCCATCATGACTAAACGTCGAAGGCACATGGAACGCTGTTATCTTCTCACCAAAAGTGGTTCCTATTTTTATACTTGCATTTTTACATGCTTTCGAACTGCTAGGTTGAAAGAAGCTGGGGCAAGTAGCATGACTCACTCTGTTACATGGCGCTAGGGATTCGAACTGCCGAACTGCTGACTTTTCTTATTGACAAACTCAGCCACTGAGCAACTGAATCCCTTTTACAATACAAGTAGACAGCTTTTTTTTTTTAATGGTCTAGCCTTCTCTTCCAAGAGAATACTTCTTTCAGTTGTTGAATGAGGGAAAAAAACTACTCAGGACAAGAAAACAGAAGGCTTTTGTCTCCGAGTCTGAGAGATTTTTTAGTATGTCTGGAAACTGCTCTCTATTCTGCTTTGTTCCTCTCAATGGTTCTCTTCCATGTTCAGATCTTAATTTAATGTTATTTGCTACAACAGCGCACCTTAAAACTTGGATGTTGCTTCAAAACTAGTCTCCCACCATAGGCCTGGTATTCAGAGGAAGCAGGTGATAAAGTTCTGCAATCAGATTGACCTAGTCCTCTCTCTCTCTGCTGCATGCCTTGTTAGATCAAATACATTAGCTGCATCAATTATTAGTATTTCAGCTTGTCCATGACAATAACATAGAATGTGAGTGCAATTGCTGTGGGAGAAATGTAATTTAAAAAAAGAAAAAAGTTTGAAGATAGTTGGACAAAACAAACCAATAAGAACCCCAACACTGAAAAACACAACAGGAAATAAAATGGCTGAGTAATTCTTTAGCAGAATAGTATTTGCTGATTTTTCATAAAAGAATCACTAAGTCTGATAAATAACATACCAATAATGAAAAGAAGCCTAAAATAGGATAAAAGATATAGGACAGGATAGGGCTATCAGAATGAGTAGTATTTTTTTCCTTCTCTGAATAAAGACAAGTGCCTCCATCCATCAATACAAATTCTTCACTTGAATCCAAAGTGAATTAAAAATCCTGGAGGAAAAGCATACATATGCTTGCTGGATTTATTAATTCTCTGTGGCATTCACTCGGTGTTTGATGTTCTGTTGAAAAATTTTCCAAACCACAAAATAAACAACCTTCCCCACCAAAAAGAAATGTTTCTTATATTAAAAATCAATGGAACAAGGACTGGTGAAAATTGCAAATGATGTTTAAATAAGGCTGAGATGAGAGCTAAGCAGTGCCATGGTTTCTATAAATCTGAGGTTGTTTCACCAGAATTGGATAGTTATTTAGTCAAACTTGAATTTCTAGAGATTCCATGTGCAGGAACACAAGTTTGTATAGTCATCTGGGGAATGGAAGATTCTGTTGGTTTCTGATATGTTGGATTTGCATTTTATTGCTTGGGTATGATCAGCAAGCATGTTAGAATAACATGGTATAGAACAAAATTGGGTTTATACAGCTAATTTATCAGGGAAAAAATGAAAAGAAAGGGCAACTGGAGCTTTCCTCAACAAAATACTTGTCTGCATTGAAAGGAAATATCAGGTACAAATGTGGTGATGCTTTTCAGTGCTGTAAAATAATTTATACTAAAGGTGAGCCTTCAACTCTGGCTCCTTGATAGCCACTTTTCCATGTACAGAATACCAACAGTAACTACCTTTCCTGCTTCGCTCTGGAATGCCTTTGAAATCTACAACTGATTACAAGGTAAGGAGATGACCTGGTAAATAGGGGAAGATCTTGCCTCTTCCAAAAAATGTGAACCTTTTCACACCCTAGAGGTAGTGCCTTCTCCAGTTGGCCTTGAGATAAGGATTAGTGTGCCCCACACAAAGGTGTTGCTGCCTTTGACAGATCTGTATTTCTTATATGTGTATCAAGGTCAATGGTAACTGTAGGTCAAAAAACCAATTTAGAAAAAAATAATCAATACAATGCGAGCAAGGAAACTATGATACAGAAACAAATAGAGAATTAATGAAAATATTCTTCTTGAGTCACCATTCAATATTACTTGGTTATTCATTTTTCTAAGTAATTCCATACATCTAACCTAACTGCAAACAAAATCAATCAATCCATTCCAAACACATAATTGTCTCAAATGTACTTTACAGAAATTTCTCGTTCTAAGCCTGATCTTCCACCTCTTGTTAGTCTAACTGCTAGTACTTCAAAAGAAAAGGAAACTAACTGCTAGTACTTCAAAAGAAAAGGAAACAACTGTGGTATTTACTGCCAAAAGGCTTAAAATATCATTTCTTCCGCCAAGAGATTACATACAAAATTTTCTAAAATCACCAACTGGAAGTAATTGCATTTGCATAAATTCTCTATGAGAACATAACATTACAATTCCTTACCTGTCCATGGAGAGCTGTGCCACCAGTGTAACATCAGTGTTATCGGTAGCAAACTCATACTCGTAGTGTAGAAAGTATAGGTGAGTCCGATGGACAGTGAAACGCTCTCGCCGAAACTCATAACATAAGTCATCTTCATCCAGCTCGGATAGTTGTTTCTGTAGCTAATACACAAAAGCACAAAAAGCATCACAAAACTATAAACAAGAGAATATTAATTATAATCTTTTACTGAAAAACAAATATAAAATCAAGTGACTCATATGATATCATATCTATTCTGTATATGACCGTTCTCTCAAATGATAAAGTCAGTTTACAAGCCTTAAATGAAGACTACTTCACGTATGTTAGTGTGGGATTAATAGAGGTCAATGATTTCTGTTTTTCCCTCCATAAATAGTTGCCAACCTCTTTTGGCAATGAGGTAATCAGGCAATTTGGATAAGGCCAGCCTGACAATTTGGAAAGAGCCCAGGCTCAAACCTTCCTGCAGCTGTTTAATTAAGTGCCTAAGACAGCAGATGCCTGGGGCCATGATGGTAATTCCTGACAGCTCATCCTAAATTTTGTGGAGAAATTGAACTACATGTTGTGGTCCACCCTGCAGTCCTAAATGAACATTCAACTTCTCAGTATTACAGCATTCAGATTTTCTTTGTAGACACTGGGGCCACCATGCTGTTTGGCCCAGATACCAAAATATCTTGTGTAGTTCTGGGTGTGAGCCACTCTTGGCAGTTTACCAGATGCCCTACTACCAATTTCACTGATTGCAAAAAGTCTCCTCCATTTGCATGATACATTTTAAGATATTCAACTGAAGCCAACCTATGGCCATTTCATTTAAGCTTGAGAGAGCAAAGCTCTATTATGGGGATGACTATGACTTCTATGACATGAAGTAAGAAGGAAAGCTGGCTGCAGCAATGGAGATAAAACATGGAAGAGAGACAGATAGGTATATTCTCTTAGGCCTTTAAACTCACATTGAAATAAGTATGTCGCAAAGCAAAACATTGAAACAAACATTTGCTTGCAGTTGTGAAAATATTTTGCAGACATCATCATTATTCAGTTATCGAAACTACAAATTACAGGATGTGTGATAAAGAAATCATAGCATCTCTAACCATTATTAAAGCAACAAAAAGATTGATTGGATTATTTATTGCGCTAAGAAGGATAGTATAAAAATGGCCTCCTTCCTACATTTTTAAAAAATGAAACTACCCTATTTTAGAACTGCTGGACTTTGTGGGAAGAGAGAGGTGGTACATGATGCGAATCTCTACAGGAACAGTGCATTGCTGTGATGGAAAAACATTCTCCTTCACAGCAGCATCCAGGAGGAAAGTCCCCCAGGGCTCCTTGCTAAGAGCAGCATTTTATATTTCCTCAGACATTGAGAGGTGTGAAAATAAAAGGGCAAGTACGCCACAAGAATTTAGAAAGCTGTTGCATTCCAGGTTGGACTTCTACCCATGCAAGAGCTCTGAAAGCACTTTTTAACCTTGTTTCATCCCTCCAAATAGAATGGAACCTGGCATTTTCCTCACACCAAGGTCGATGGACCACCAACAAGACAGGAAATATAATTGCTTCTGACTCAAGTAACCCTATTCAGGGATTCCAAACGCTTATCCCTGCTTGTTTGCCCTCAATTATTTGCCACACTAGGTAGGGGTAATGGGAGTTATAATCAAACACCATCTACAAACCAAAGACTGAAAATTACTGTGTTAGGATGTGAAATATACATTCACAGTTTACACATACGCTCATGGACACATTCACATGACACCAAAACCATTTCCTGTCTTGCAGTAGTATCCTAAGCATTTTCTTAGTGGTTCCATCTAATTTTGTCCTCCATTTCAAAGAGCTTTAATTTGATTATCTATACCCCACCTATCATCCAAATCTATGAACAAATGGACTGCAACAATTTATCACCTTTCATAATCACCCTGGTCTTCATCATGGACAATTTTTTATATCATCACTTGATTGGCACTAAAAACCCCGTCCTACATTATGTTAATGCTTCATAACAGCCATTTAAAATATAGCAACAGAAGCCAAACTACACCACAGTTAAATAAGCTACAGCAATATTTTTTTTTCTGTTATCCACTGCCAAATCTTGACTTTTCTATCCCACCTCCACTACTAACCCACAAATAAATTTCTGTAAGTTTCGCGTGATAGGGTCCTGATCTAAACCAAAACTTAAGGCAGGGGTGTCAAACGGGCGGTCTGTGGGCCAGATGCGTCACACACAGTCCACGCCTACCCCAACTGCGCGAAGGGGAAAACATAGCAATATGTCACATGACAGCAATGTGACACCGTGAGTTTGACACCCATGGTCTAAGGCAACTTCCCCTCAATAAATCCCCATTACTTTTTAAAATACATCTCCCTTAATATACATCTGAAGTCAGGTGGAATTGTTAGTATTATTTTGTAAATTAGAATTTATTAAATTGGTCTTTGAAAATTGATTTGAGTCTTAGCAACTACTCTCCTTTACTAAATCTATCAAAAAAAACTTCTGATGAGATAAATCAGTTTCTTTTGATGGCCAATGGATATCTTTGAATGAAAATAAGTCTTCCAGTTTCTGACACAATTAGGTTTGATGTTTTTTAACTGCTATGTGAGAACAATAATTTTAATTACAGTTTTTTTCATTTTTAAATAGATATTTCAAGAATTTAGACAGTATTTAATGAGCCCCTTGAAATTAATAAATAAAACCACTCACTATCAGTAACAGATGGCACATTTAGGAATCTTTTTGTTTTTATAATAATTCCAGCCCCTATGTTTTTAAAATTAATTCTGAATGGCCAATTCTGTTATAAGCTGTCCTTGCTTAATGACTCATGTTTAGTGTCTGAAGGTAACAACAGCACTGAAAAAGTATCTTTACAACAGGTCCTTGCACTTAGAAACAGCGCTGGAGTATTCCCTTGGCCACATTCAGATGCTTTACAACTGGTGAATGTTCCCATAACTGCCATTTGCATGCTTCACAGTTAGCTTCTGACAAGAAGAGTGGAGCAGTTGGCAAAGTCGCAGCCATGTGATGTCTCATTTTGTGACAGAGTTGCCTGTCCCAACTGTGGTTACTAACTGAGGCCTATTTGTACTTTTCTTCTTTCTCATTGTCTGCCTCAGTCATCTTCTTAACTTCCAGCCACAAGGAATCACTTATTAAGAAGTACCATAAAGGTTATAAATAGCTTCAAAACTCTCATAACATTTGCAGTCTTTAAGTCCAAGCACTAATTTTGGATTGTTCCCCCACTCTTGTTTTGCTCATCATGGCAAGAGCATAATCTTAAATTTCAGCATAGTTATCACTAAAAACGATCACAACCTAATTTATTTCATTTTCTCTAAAGCGTAGATAATATCAGCATTTTAAATAAACTGAGAAATTGCTACATGAAATATCTTAATTTTCTTTCCATTTCTTTTCTTGGAAAGCTATTTAACATCTCTTATCAATCCAAGTCATCAGGCTAAGTAGGCATAGTTAAAAAGCTGTAACTAGCTGTAACTGCATCACTGTTTTAAGATATCACATATCACAATATCTTCTTTTTCCCATTTCATGAATACCCAGGTTATATATTCATACCTGCAAAACAACAATTATCTAGGTACTGTAGTCACAAAATGATTTTTAGATTACTTCAAACTTCTAAATGCATATAATAACTTAGTTATGAATTATGGAGCAATGTTATGAAATTAATTATTTCTCTACTATAGAAAAATGGTGCAAAATACCTGCCTACTCTGTATGTATTCCTTACTACAGTACATTAACTGCAAATTAAGAAACATACTAGAAAGGAGCTATATTATGTGTATGTGTGTGTGTGTGTGTGCGCGCATTTCTCTCTCTTCTCCTCTCCATTTTTGAATAGGATCACTAATTCTACACTTGTAACAATGCCCTATCCTTCAGAATGCTTCTTTGTCACTGAAATACTGCATTAATGCTTGAATTCAATTATATGCATAAGTATATTGTTTTCATCAAACATATCTCAGTTGTAGAATATATGCATTTAAACATACTCATGTTGTTATAAATGAAATCCAGACAAGAGAAAAGCAAAAATTAAAGAATGGAATGTCCTTTTCTCAATTACAGTATGATGTTATTACTATTTTCTTCATAAATGAAACTGTGGGCAAGCTCTTTTTATATCAGCTTTGACTGAGAGAAGGCAGAACTGCCAGAAACTACATAATTTGTTCTTGTGGACCACAACTGGCCAGCATTCTGCTGATGGGTTCTCTTACTCAGTTAAAAACAAACAGTCTTTCATCTGATCACAGACAACAGGAAAAAGAATCTTGCTTGCTTAATAGTAATAGCACAAATAAATACTTACAAGTAGGGCTAGTGTCCTAAGTTAATCCTATCCTTATGACCCTATCCCTATTGTATCCTATCTGATATATCATATATCCCATATTCTATCATATCCTAAACTAGAAACGACTAGTTTGCATGTGGTATTTGCTGTACATCCTGAGACAATGCTAAATTATAATGTATGCCTCCTGGGAATTAGATAAAGTTATGTAAATAAGAAATCTTGGTCCTTGTTGCTCTGTTTGCATGTTGCTTTGCTTTTACTGCTTTTATGACAGGTTTGTTTATTTTCTGTTGGCAACTTGCTCAAGATACTTGGAAACGCTTCTGCAGTTTGCAAGCTGCCCACAGGACCTTATGAACTGATTCTCTTGGATGTGTGAAAAAGCCTATCTCTTCCTTGAAGACATTTGTGAATGGATTACTTTTAGCTCAGTTCTTTACTTTTTTTCTAGTAAGTTCAGGATCTTGAACATTAGCCTATGATATTGTTAGGATCCAAATCAGATCACTGTACTACAAAGAATTTAAAGACTTTCTATTAAATTGTAAGAACCACTAAATTAAATAGAAACACCGCTTTTATTTTCTGAGAAATTTCTTCACACTTTCTAAAGACCATAAATGTTTCATTGTTTTTCTGTTTGCAACATTTGGGTAGTAAATCTACTTTTGATTAACCATAATGGATGAAATGTTGGGTTTTTTTGCAATCAATCCTTTGAATGTTTTAGAGAAATCCCAGGCTATTTCTTTTAAGCA